AAAGAAAGAAAGAAAGAAAGAAAGAAAGAAAGAAAGAAAGAAAGAAAGAAAGAAAGAAAGAAAGAAAGAAAGAAAGAAAGAAAGAAAGAAAGAAAATAGTCTTCAGAACAAGGTGGCCCCTGTCCTTTTGTCATCTGGACTGGTCAGACCATGACTGAAATGTGTTCAGTTCTATGTTCCACATTTTGAGTGAAGCAATGGTCACCTGGAACATTTCAAAAGATGATAACCAGCATGGTAAGATGTCTAGAAGCAATGGAAAAATAAAAATGTTTAAAGGAACAAGTTAAAGACATTTAATCTGAAGAGTCAGGATGATTATCTTATTGTTCTTTTTGAAGAGCTATCGTTGGGAAAGGCATTAGACTAATCTGTATGGTTTCGTAAGGCAGATCTAGGTAAGTGCTACCATGAAGAATAAAAGAAAAAAATTCCTAACACCTAGAGTGGTCCAGAAAAGAATTGGGTCTTGTCATGAGATAGCAAGCTCCTTATCACTATAAATGTCTAAGTAGAAGCTGAGCAACTTGTCAGGGATGTCCTTGAGGGGATGTAGTTGTAGGTTGGCATGGATGACCCATAAATTATGTCATTTACTGAGGAACAACTTCCCTCTGTGAGTTCACAGGTTGCCACATGGACATGTTCCAGCACCTCGCCTTTTCAGATGTGGATGTGGGCAGAGTTATCACTCCAGATGCTTTTGTGTGTCAAACCATTTGCACCTATAATCCCAACTGCCTCTTCTTTACGTTCTATACAAATGCATGGAATACAGAATCACAAAGGCGAGTACGCATGTGTAACATTTGCTGCTGCCTTGTCATCACTTTAGTTTTATCGTTTGAGTTTTTAAAAAGGTTTGTTCATTCCCCTCAAAATGCTTGAACCTGCAGTTTAAGTAGGTACTTTTCTGCCAGGTACAGATTAGTTAAGAGATTTGCAGACTTTTCTACCTACCTTCTCTTACTTAAACCTACTATTGAATCAATGAAACAACAGCCATGGAAAAGGAAGCATCTGATACCTTTCTTACAGATCTTAATGTTTTGTGTTAGCTTGAAGTATGAAGCACTCGCTGGCAGCACATCCTTTAAGCTCGTTGGTTCTAATTCCTCTGTTTCAGAAACTAGAGCCCTGTTTTTCCTGATCGAGGCTCTGGTTCGACCTCTTTACCCTCAGATAACCCACCCTTTCCTTTATAAGAAAGCTGCAGCTAAGAGAAGGGTATATAGTTACATAATAGCATCAGCAGCATAAATCCCCAGAATTTGTTCTTTTTTTTCCTCAGTTGGAACTTAACCATTCAGCTCTTTTCAGGTTATCTATGGCTACCAATTTTCTTCAGAGGGAGATGTGACTTGGTTTACATTTAATGTCTGTAATTTTTTAGAGTCCTGTAGTCTGATTTACTTCTGCATCTAATATACTTCTCAGAAGAATAAAATTTGCAGGATGCTTTTTTTGATATATGGTATTTTTGTATTTGCCTCTAATGCAGCTTTCTTTCTCTCTCTTCCTTTTTTTTTTAATAGAAATATCTGTTTCCTTAAAACTTCCCAAAGTGGGACACCGAGTTCCCCTACCCCTCGGAGAAACACCATATCTGGATATAGCCTTTTAACTTGCAAACAAACTTTGCCTGGTAATGTGATTCGAGAAGAGTATTACATAAAATATAAATTTTTTGATTTTCTAACAAGTCATAGTGATGAAATAATCATCAATGTACCAGAAACTTATGTGAATGTGGTTTATTTCTGTTTCATTTTATATTTTTTTATGTTTATAACTGGCACAGAGCCTTGCCATTCCAAAATTTACCCAGGAGTTGATTTCCAAGGGGAAGAATTGAATGTGACCTTCGTTAAAGGAGTGAATGTCTGCCAGGAGACATGTACAAAGACGATTCGCTGTCAGTTCTTCACATATTCTTTACTCCCAGAAGACTGTAGAGGAGAGAAGTTAGTGAAAATTTATTTTTCAGAGACAGTCAGCAAGACAATTTCATGAACTTTCCCCCTCTGTGAAGGTTTAATCTTTATACTGATGATTTTATCTAGGTGTAAGTGTTCGTTACGATTGTCTATGGATGGCTCCCCAACTAGGATTACGTATGGGACACGAGCGAGCTCTGGTTATTCTCTGAGGTTGTGTGAAAGTGAGGACAGCTCTGGTGAGTAAACCTCATTTTTCCAGAAACCTGTAAAAGGATGTCTGTGTTGTTCTGATAGCTTGCCTAGTCTTAGATAATGGAATTATATACTTTGTTTTCCTTGGATGAAGAGGACTGTGTTTCACCTCTAAGTCCAACCATTAATTTCGACACTCTCTTTTTAGTCTGCACAACAAAAACAAACCCACGCATTGTTGGAGGAATCAACTCTACTTGGGGAGAGTGGCCCTGGCAGGTCAGCCTTCAGGTGAAGCTGACAACTCAGAGCCACTTGTGTGGAGGGTCGATCATTGGGTCCCAGTGGGTTCTAACTGCTGCCCATTGCTTTGATGGGTAAGTTTTGGATGCGTCTTATCCGGGGTCTTATCTTGCCTTTTAGTTTTGAAGAATCTATAATCAATTTCTTGATCATCAAGTCAGTTTATTGACAGGTTGTTCTTTTTTAATAAAAGATATTTTAAAACAGGGACAGTATTCAAAATGTTGAACTAGGGCCTGAGCACTGAATGATCTGAACCATCAGAACAGAGTGTGGAGTGTTAGCAGGACTGATGTTCCCCGGGGGATATTACTTCTGCTTGAAAGAATAACCAAAAAATATTTCTACTTTATTGGGCCAACAGCATGTATGGCAGGGTTTTAAAGTTTTAAAACACTTAGACTTTGTAGTTAGACAGAACGGGGATTGAGTCAAAACTCTGCACTTATTAAAAGTAAGAATGACTGCTAGTGGGAGTGCAAACCAGGGCAGCCACTATGGAAAACAGTATGGAGAGTCCTCAAAAACTTAAGAATAGAACTACCATATGATCCAGCTATTCCACTGCTGGGTATTTATCCGAAGAATGTGAAAACACAATGCGTAAAGATACAGGCACCTCTATGTTCGTTGTGGCATTATTCACAATAGCCAAGACTTGGAAGCAACCTAGCTACCCATCAAGGGGCAAATGTATAAAGAAGATGTGGTATATATACACAATGGAATACTACTCAGCCATAAAAAGGGATGAAATCTGGCCATTTGTGACAAGGTGGATGGACCTTGAGAGTATTATGCTAAGTGAAATAAGTCAGATGGAGAAAGTTATATGATCTCACTCATAAATAGAAAATAACAACAACAAACAAACATATAGAGACAGAGATTAGATTGGTGATTTCCAGAGGGGAAGATGGGAGGGGAAGGGCAAAAGGGATGATTAGGCACATGTGTATGGTGATGGATTGTAATTAGTCTTTGGATGGTCAACATGATGAATAATCTACACAGAAATTGAAATATAATGATGTACACTTGAAATTTATATAACATTGTAAACCAATGTTACCTCAATTAAAAAAAATAAAGGTGTGAATGACCCTGGGCAATTTGTTAATCTCGCTTAGCTTTATTTTCCTATCTGTAAAATGTGAATCATCATAGTATCTAATTTGTAAGGTTATTGGAAGGATTAAGCGACATGGCTAAAATGCTGAGTACTATACCTGGAACGTAAAAATTACTCACAAAATATAAGCTATGATTAAATAAGAAATGTAAAAATGGACAAAGCCTATGAATAAGCAAAAGAGATACTAAGAGCCCTAAAATAAAAGATGCTTGATCTCTTTCAAAAAGTATTTTTGTTTTTGTAAAATTCCCCCTCTTTCCCTGTCTAAAAGGGCAGGGTCTGGGTTATTGTGTTCCGGGATTGAGGGTACTGCTTTCGAAATATCACAGAGGCTGTGGCACAATTGGGCAGAGCAAAGTTCCTCCATAGCTGCCACATGGCAGCCTGGGCCTCTGGTTAGAGGCTGTGCTGCACGTGGCATTGCTAAAGAGAAGGCTGTTGGTCTGGAAGGAAAGATTTTGTGAAGGGAAATAGCAGGTCCCCTTTTTACTATATGCACCCCAATTTGGAACCAAGAATTTTCATCTTTTTTTCCCCAGCATTATTGAGTTATAACTGACATATAACATTGTGTAAGTTTAAGGTGTACAATGTAATGATGTGATATACATATATATTATGAAATGATTACTGCAATACGGTTAGTTAACACATCCATCACCTCACATAGTTACGATTTTTGTGTGTGTGATGAGAACTTTTAAGATCTACTTTCTTAGCAACTTTCATATATACAATACAGTATTGTTAACTATAGTCACCATGCTTTAGATCACATCCCCAGGACTTACTCATCTTAACCGGAAGCTGGTACCCTTTGACCATCTTCACTTATTTCCCAGCCTCCCCTCCACCCCAGGGGACAACCACCAATCTGCTCTCTATTTCTCTGAGTTTGGTTTTTTAGATTCCACATATAAGTGAGATCATACGGTATTTGTGTTTCTCTGACTTATTTCACTTAGTGTAATGCCCTCACAGTGCATCCATGTTGTCAGAAATGTCAGGATTTCCTTTTTTTTTATGGCTGAATAATATTCCATTGTACACATATACCACAACTTCTTTATTCCAATCATCTGTCAATGGAAACAACCTAAGATTCCGTATCTTGGCTATTGTATAAAATGCTACTATGAACATGGGAGTGCAGATATCTCTTTGAGATAGTGATTTTGTTTTCTCCAGATATACACCCAGAAGTGGAATTGCTGGGTAATATGGTAGTTCTATTTTTAATTTTTTTTTTTTTTTTTTGGTGAGGAAGATTGGCCCTGAGCTAACATCTGTTGCCAATCTTCCTCTTTTTGCTTGAGGAAGATTCTCACTGAGCTAACATCTGTGCCAATCTTCCTCTATTTTATATGTGGGTCGCCGCCATAGCATGGCTTCATGAGTGGTGTGTAAGTCTGCGCCCAGGATCCAAACTCATGATCCCTGGGCTGCTGAAGCGGAGTGCGCAAACTCAACCACTATGCCACCAGGCTGGCCCCTATTTTTAATTTTTTGAGGAACCTCCATACTGTTTTCCATAGTGGCTGCACCAATTTACGTTAAGAATTTTCATTCTTGAAGGCTCAGTGTGGTGCGTTTATAAGAAGTGATATAGGGCCGGCCCCATGGCTTAGCGGTTAAGTGCGCGCACTCCGCTGCTGGCGGCCCGGGTTCGGATCCCAGGCACGCACCGACGCACTGCTTCTCCGGCCATGCTGAGGCCGCGTCCCACATAAAGCAACTAGAAGGATGTGAAACTATGATGTACAACTACCTACTGGGGCTTTGGGGGAAAATAAATAAAAATTATAAAAAAAAAAAAAAGAAGTGATATACATAGAAACACTGTAATTTAATTAAAAGAAAGCTACTTTGTACCTGATATCTCCATTATTTCCCCTAGAGTTTTGTTTGTGCACATCTGTCTAGCACCATTCACTTAATGATGATAAAAATTTCCAGATATTTACACAAAATAAGACTTTGCGTTAGCTCATAATTCTATACTTACTCTGTATATATTCATATTTTAAAGAGTTAATTTAAATTTTCATACTTCCTAAAATATAGAT